TATCTTCTTTGCTCTTCTTTTTCTCTTTTCTGTGTAGAATTGTAATGCGGAAGGAGGAACACATAGGACTTCATGTATTTCTTCTATTTTTAGCGGAGATCTTCTTTCCCTCCCCAATTTTGTAACCTCCTTTTATATTAACGCGTAAGGAGCCACTTGTTGCTCTTTTATAATATATATATATATATATATAAAGAGACTTTCTCATTGCCAATAATTCATAATCAGTAAAGGATTGGTATTGTGACAAATATGAGCATACCTATTTCTTTGCTTTCTTTCGAATTGTGCAAAGAACATTGGCTAATCTAAAGTTGGTGTCGACATGTATAGTAGTGTTGGGTATGTTCTAGTCTCTCGCTTCTGGATTACCCATTGTGCCCTCTCTATAGGACCTACTTGTGGCCTTAGTTCCAATCTCAAGACCAAATTGATAAAAGAATTGTTGACCTCACTTTTGTGAGGAAACTAAAATGACACTCATAGACCAGACATGTCTTGAGTAACCCTCTGGCTTAGGATTCCCAAACAATCCATAAAGACCTGAGAATGATCATCATGATCATTAAGGCAAAGGGTATACCAATATTGACTCCTTTGAACTTATCGAGGGTCCCCAAAACCCTAAAAACTCCAAAAATTCCTGTTTTGGGCTTCAACCATGATGACAGCCTAAAATAATTAAATCAAGAATGTCAAACCCTAATCTGGTCAAACTTTGACCTAATGATCATTACATTGACTATAAGGTAAATACTGACACCCAATTGACTTGATTGGTCAACTTTGACCCAACTGGTCAAATTTGGTCAAACTGGCCAACTTTAGTTAACTTGGAATAACGGATCAATCCAAACCCTAAATTGGTCAAATTGGATCATTTTTTTCATTCTAAAACACCAGATTGGTAAAACTTGACCATTTGGTCAACTATAGACACCATTGACCTAAATTGGTTAAAATGGTTACTTTTGAACCTTATGGTCACCACAATTGACCATTTGGTCATACATATACCTAAATGATCATATGGTCAAAACGTAACCATATGGTCAATTTGACCATCCTAGTCAACCTTGGTCAAACCTAACTCATACCACCAACCCAAGGACCCCATGACTAAACTAACTATGACATGGTCAAGTAAGTCATCTTGGTCAAACCTGGACCTAAATTGGTCAACTTGGTCAACATCACCATTTTTATCAAAATTTGGTCTTTTCATCAAATTATCTTTATTCTCTTGATTAATAAATTATTTAATTAATTAAAGAGAATGAAATTAAAGATTATTAGAACGGGCTAAGTTTAAAATATTGATTTAAACCCATGAAAAGACAAATCCATGGTCACATAATAATCATATTTTTACACTTAAACCCTAAACCATCATATGAAAAATGATTAATGGGTCATCAATGACTCATGAAATACCCATGACATGAATAATTTTCAATAAATCACCCAAGACAAAAGGGCATCACTAGGGTATCATAAAAGGAATATGAGGTGGCATTCCCTCAAGAATCCTTAAAAAAATGGATGTGATGAACTCATCCTTCACCTCCTTCATTCTCCAATAAAGGAGAGGCTC